AGTGGTATTATTGTTATTCTGAGACCTGCCCCCTAAAAGAGAAGTTCATAAGTGGGTTTTAGAGATTCCAGCAATCATTAAAAGCCTTTAGGGTTAAAATGTTTTACATCAAATTTCCATGTAGAAAAATACTTTTTCTTGATCCTCACAAAAGAGGAAAATATGATGAGCTTTAAGTGGAAAATGTTCTGCAAGAGCAACATCCTTACTTGTTTCCATGCTTCTATTCTTAATTCACTAAGTCTTTGAATGAGTGAAATGATATAGGCTCTTAATACATAATACCAGTGAATCATATCAGTCATCATGCTCCCTTTGTAAATACTTCATTCATCATTCCACTCTGCATGCAAAACTAGGTTCTCCCTCCTCAGCAGAACGTTACCCCTCTGAGTCTAAGGCAATTCTCTCGTATTCATAGCTAGGTCACCATTAGGGAGCACAGCGCCAGGTTCGGTACAGACAACTGGGGAAAGAATTGTCAAACTGGTAACAGAAAGAATGTCTGTCAAATGGTCTGTTTCTCCAGGAAAGCAGTGTATCAAATAGGACATCACAGTTAGGATCCTGGGCTCCAGAGTCAGACTGCATGGGTTCAAGTCCCAACTGGAGCACCAACCAGTGCCTTTGACAAGTCTACTTATCACTCTGTGCCTCGGTGACCTCACTCCAAAAGTGAGGGAATGGAAATATCTACACTGACTGACAGCCCTTCACATCCTGTTTTGTTATCTTTTACCGTCATTTGTTTACCTCTCTTAACTTTAAAGCAAAAAGAGAGACCTGTCCAAACTCAAAAATGTGGTCAATCATAGCTGAAACTGCTTAAGAGGCATAGAGTGGCTGTGGCAGGCCTCTGGAGGAGCAGTAAAAATCTAGGTGAAAGAGGGACCCAATTTGCTTGAAGTTCCCCCACTCCAAATCACACAGTCCCCAGAGTGGGCCCTAATTACGGTCAAGGTGGGCAGCCAAGCACAGTAGGATGCAAAAGACACATGAAAGCCACACGTCTCTGCCATCATGTACCTCCTATTATGAGACACTACTTGGCAGCCCTGGAAACAGACACCCCACCCTAAAGCAGTTCCAAAGCCAAGAGACCAAGATCCTGAAGCTGACTTTGACAGTTATTCACTCTGCGATATTTCTGAGCTATTACCTCTTTCTTCTGTGAAATGGGAAAACAAAGCAAATAATTGCCAGGGATAAAATAAGGATTCAATCTGGTGTCTTTGGAAGTGCTTTGAGGAAGTTGAAGAGTAAGCAAAATCAGTGTTGTAGCAACAGCAACAGAATCCCCAACCAAACACAGATGTGAGGCTTTCCCTCTTAAATGCCAATTGAAAAGGAATTTACTATTAAAGAATCAACCTTCTGCAAGGGGCCACAAGTATTAATATTGAATGGAAGTAGATATCATTTAAAAAGTTGTCATGATAATTTGAATTGAGGAAAAGACATATTGTGTAAATCATGAATAAACATTAAATCCCTGAATGAAATAAATACCTTTAGTATTTATTTCACGAAATATCTTTGGTATTTTTTAAATTTCATATCTTACATACATTCTCTTTAGAATGCCCACGATTGGATTTTCTTTTTTCTTTTTTTCTTTGTTTGGAGACGGAGTCTTGCTCTGTCACCCAAACTGGAGTGCTGTGGCACAACCTTGGCTCACTGCAATCTCCATCTTCCAGGATCAAGCGATTCTCCGACCTCAGCCTCCCAAGTAGCTGGGATTACAGGTGCTCGCCACAGCACCCAGTTAAGTTTTGTATCTTTAATAGAGATGGGGTTTCACCATGTCGGCCAGACTGGTCTCAAACTCCAGACTTTGTGATCCACCCGCCTCTGCCTCCCAAAGTCTGGGATTACAGGCGTGAGCCACTGCACACAGTCATAGATTTTGTATTTCTTTTTTTAATGTTTAGGTAAAAATGTATACTAAAACTCTTTCAGTGATCACAACAGCTACTAATTCAGCAAATTATCAGGCACTCAAAATTCCCCAAATTGCTGGAACTCTAACTAGAAACTCTTACATTTTGAAATCTGCCGGAAATTTTAAAATTTCCTGCATAACTTATTTCATTTTATTTACTTTGAAAGTTCAAAAGAAGAGGACTCAGTTAAGATATATACAGCCTGTTACATGCCTCCACTGGGCAGTAGATAAGGTTATTTAACAGAGGACTAAAGCCTAAGGGATTTCTTTTTTCTTCTCTCTCTCTCTCTCTCTTTTTTCTTTTTCTTTTTGTGACACAGGTACCATAATGAAGTGGTAAAAACGGAAAAGGAATGAGGAAGAAAGAAATGCAGTACAACTAATACAGCAGAGAAAGTTTTAAAATATGTATTACTCCTGTCTGTGGGGGAAACACCTCTTTGGATGTGTTCTTGGCAGATTGAGTTATTTCTGTCTATTGGGTATGTATAAAGACATATTTATGGATTTATAAATCTTTTGAAGAGGGCTGTTATTTACCCAGTTGACTAAAATGGACTCAAACTGTGTAAATAACTATTTAGGACATGTACTACAGGCCAAATGCTGGCACAGCTTACACTTCCATGCCTGCCAGAAAAGGCAAACAGGGAAAACATGGAAAAGCCACTGTGCACAGTTAATCCGAAGGCTGCACAAAGACCAAGCTCTGCAGGTCTCAGGGATGAAAAAAAAGGTTTAGAAGGGTCATGGTTGGCATGGAAATGTGCATAAGTTGTTGCAGCAACACTTTCAGGCATCATTCTGCATTTAGCAGAAATAAATTCAACCACCAAGGAAAACGCACAAGGAAGGACAAATAAGATTGAAGGTGGGGTTCCCATCAGCCCCTGTTAGCAAGCACAGAAAAGTGGGGCAGGGGAAACCAGCACAGAAAGTTTCCACCTGATGACAGTGGAAGTTATTGATCGTAGTTCTTTGGTAGAGAGATGAGGAAAGAGGGTCTGATGAGAAGAAGCTTATTTCAGTCATTGGGAAACTGGAAGTTTAGGTCTGACGCTCCACCGGGACCTTGCCAAATCATTCAGCTTCTCCATGCCCTTATTTTTCTCATCTGTTAAATGGGGCTACACCTACTTATACTGCTACCCAGGATTTTTAAAAATGATTCAGCTGAGATCATTCAAATAAGATAATTGATGTGAAAATGTCTTAAAAATAACTAGGTGTTGGACTCAAATACAAAAATATAAAAAGAAAAATTATAGAAAGAAACATTCTAAGTGGAAAGTTAGTAATATGAAGAATATAGAGTTCCTAGTTACAATCAAATTATTAAATAGGCCTTTGGAGAACACTTGTTGAAGGAAGAGGCAGCATACAACATTCCTAATTTCTTGTTACAGCACGCAGAGGAGAAGAACTGGTATTGGGCATTTGCTATCTGAAAATCCTCTTATCATATTATGTTTGAGAAAACTGACGCATTACCGTTTTAAATTCAAGGGCATTTCAGCAATTTGCAAGCCTTCAATGTAAGAGCTGAACTATACCTATTCTCAGATGATGTAAGTTTTGAAAAGCAAGAAATGAAAAAGAAAAAGAAGCCAAACACTAGGCTGTGACCCCATGTAGCAATTTTGGGCCACAGGAAAAAGAATTTAGATTCCATTTACACCTTTTTGAAAACTCGTAGTGTAAGTAGAGTTATGAAAGTAGGGTTTTATATTGAAAGTGCTGACACCACCCCAACTATAGCGCTGGGAACAGCAACGCCATAACACATATATATACACGCACTTGAAAGAAAAAAGGCCCCTTGGATTTATGCTGCATATCATTTTCCAGTAAAAGTCAGAGGTCAGAGGTTACCTGTTTCTGCCTCAGCTCTGAACCAGTTTACTATTCTGGGCTCCGTTTTTACTAGGCTTACAGTTGTGATGAAGTCAGCAACTTTTCTTTGAACAATAAAATGTCTCAAATGTTTAAAATTATATTTGTAGAAGTTATTCCCGGTACAAAGAGCATACATGTGTCTAAAAAAAAAAAATTAACTGTCCTGTTTTTGTTTTCAAATTAATCATGCCAAATTCATTGTAGACTTTGCAATTTTAATTGGTAGAGCCTAACTAAGCTAGACAACAAAATTCCTTTGTTGCCTAATAGCACTGCAGCGAAACACGATCATAAAACCAGATTTTAAAGTATGTACCTACTGTGGGCTCAGAGTCAACTCCAATAAAACAGCCTTTTTATATTCAGATAAATAATTCTCTTTTAAACTTTAATTGCATTAATGGAACACAAAATCCGCCACAGTGGGATCTCATGAAAAGCAGTACAGACATTTGAATACTCATTCGCCCTTTTGCTGAAGATTAGCTTGATGTTTAAACTTTATTCCTACTAGTTATAGTCAAACATGCACATCCATGGACACCCACAAACACACAGGTATGTGCATTCACAGGATAACACAAATTAATCTGTTATCTTTTCATTTCTTCCTAAATTTTATTTAGTCTGGCTTTGCAATGAAGCCAAGCAGTTAAGAGGCTCAGATAAATAAAACCAGAAAAAAAATGGCTTCAACCCAGTGGAAAGGGAAGCCCAGCATGTGCTACTGAAAGGCCCACGGCCTTAGAAGCATCTTAAGACATCGTTAACTCAGAATCCTAGTGGGTGTTTCTTCATGAGCTCTTGAAAAGCCTCTGAGGGCAAGCAGTAGTAATACTTTTTATTTGTATAGCAGGGTATTAGTGGCATACTATTTATTCACATTCAAACTTCTAAGCTACTTCCCTAATCTTGCCCGCAGTCAATTCACTGACCCTGTTTTACGAAGCTGGCCAGGTGACAGGCAGTTAGGCAGCTGGAATGGCACAGAAGAAAACAGGATCGGAGAATAAAATAAGATGAGCTGATTCTCAAGTTAAAGGAGGCTTATCCTCTAGGAAAACTGTATGGTATACAGAGTAACTCACTTGACAGTTCTGATTTTTTAATCCTTAAAAATGAAACAAGTAGCAAAAGAGAATAGCATCTCTCCTACCTTGCTCACTGCTGTTGTCCCCACTGTGTGACGTGTGGCCACCGCTGGAAGGGCCTGGGGTTCCTCCTGAACGGGTAGATGCTGTGTCATCATGATCTCTGTTCCAAGAGGGCTGTGGGGGCACAAATCAGAAACCCAAATAAGAGGCATCTGTGAACCCTATTGGCAAGGATCCCATGGCATAATGACAAAGCCATGAAGGGCTGGAGCACATAATGTGCCACTTTCCCCATCTCCCTTCAACCATGGTTCCAGCTCAGAGCTGCATTGGTACATTTGTGATTTGCCAGTTTCTGCTTCCAAGCTAAAATAATATCTACAAATAGTTATTCTGTAAGTAATTGCATGCTTTATTACTAAGGAAAACAAAAACATTCCAGGCAAAGAGGAAAACAAAATGCCGCCACTGATTCTGACTATGTTTTTAACATCAACAAACCCTCTGGCACAACCGTCTGCTACTCTGGAAATGCAAAATGAGAACGGTGGTCTGTAACACTGTGGTTTATCGAGGCCTCTGATTCATCCTAGAAGACAAACATGGCAGAGCTTTTAAGACCTCACAATTAGGCCTGGGTCCATAATAGCTAGTATGTGTCAGCTGTTTGCCGGATGGTACATGGCAAATGGACCAGGCATGGGGACAAAAAAGAAATGAGAATAACAATAGATTCACATGGACTGTGTACACTCAGCCCCATGCAGAGCCTTCTTGTACTATTGAACGGAAAACAGATGTTGCTTCTTATCACTGGGTGCATTCGAAAGTAACATTCAGATAGGAAAAACTGGCCATAAATTAAATTCTTAAGGAAAACAATCATGGCGACACTTCTCCCAAATCTCCCTTTATCACCAGAAAAGATTTTAATTAGCTTTTGGTGCTAGCTTTCAAAAACAGCCTCATGAGTCACTGGTCATCCTGCACAGTAGGAATGATGCAAAATACAAAGCTGGTCTTTGGCCCGGAAGTGATATTTGTCTTCAAGATTATTAGTGGGAAAGTAGGCTGATCTTGTATATAAAATATGTATATATCATCTCAATCATATAAGGTCACACTGCATGACTATATAGTAGTAGAGTTTGCTGACCCTTCCAATATGTTTAAGTATGGGTAGTGAAATCAAAGAGCTCTTTGCTTATTTCTACAAAAGTATTTTCCTATCCTGGAGAAGATAAGAAGGGCTGAGATCAAAACGTCTCAGACACCCTGGGAGAGAAAAGTAAAGATCCCATCTAAGAGGCGGGCTGTATAGGAATCAAAGGGAAAGAGTCACTGTTCCTGAACAGGATGCATCACTGTCACTTATTCTATAATCTTGGCCAGAACATGAATGCAGCCTGAAAAATGAAAATAAAGTTATAGAAAGATATGCCATTTGTATGTTTGACTCACCCATTATGCATATTCTCAAAAACAGTGCTAATTGATCTGCTGATTCTGTGATTGAAAGACATGTGAACTGTGAAAGAAATGCTTTTGCAAACACGCATTCTGCAGCATACCAGAAGAATGCTGTAAGACGTAATCTGGAACACACGCTCAGAATGCAAACAGTTAATGCATAAATTTTCAGTTTGTACAACTGCAGCTCTAAAAGGGGGACTTGTTTATTCAGAGCTCTGCAGAAAGAATGGTACAGCACCCAGGGGACAGACAATGCCAGGCACAAAACCCCGGTGCCTCGACATGTAAAAGGATGTTTTTCTATGTGCTACAAATCCCACTTGAAAATATAATTAGAAAGAGAAAATGGCAAACTATTGCATTAACTGTAATTGAACAAAAGACCAGCAAGGCATGTGGGAGGCTGCAGGAACCCGTGGGAGTTTCAGGATGCATGAGATCCTGCGAGTGACATCTCCTGGGCACTCTCATTTTATTTATGTTGTCCCTCACTACTATTGTTGACTGGTGATCTGACTGGTAATTAATAGAAAAGCTAGCGATAACAAGCTAAAATACAGAGCCACAGACCAACCTCATCAGAAGCATGTTTGCTAATCTGATTAAGACTAGGACTCCAAAAGGTGACTTAGAACCAAAGAATTATTCCTTGTTATACAGGAAACTGTCCTCCTTTATGCTACAACAGACCTGATATATTCACTATCTTTTAATGAGCTCCACTGATTTATTCAGCTTTGCTCTGCTCCCTCCCCCACTTTTCTACTGTGCAGGATGTAGATTAATTCAATGCTTAATTGTTTAGTAAATTCAATTTTCCACATTCTATTCTGCATAGCTTTTGCTAAGGTTCTTAAATCTTCAGCAGTGAGCCCTGAGCCCAGTGTTTGTGATCTGTGCCTACCTTTTTTCATCACCATTTTTCTTCATCCACCACTTAATTCACCATGAAAAGATTTTCCTTGCTGGAAATTCTGATTCCACTATGATCTGTGAGGCATTCCGATTCATTGCATTTTCATTGTGTTGGGCCTTAGATGCTGGGTTCCTCTTTTCTCACAGCTATCGCCACATTATACAGGAATTCATGCAAGAAATGTTGGATTCCACCTCACTTTATCCAAATTTTGTGCAACCTATATGTTTAAATTTGTGTATTCACCAAAGGTAGGAGCCAATAGTTTCCACCTAATATCATTCTTCTCACAGCCTTGCTCTTCCGGAAGGCCTGTGAATACTGAATGCACTTCTCTGAAGAGAAATCTAACTTTTGTGGTCCTTTCTTGAATTAGCATTTTGTGTATTAGCATTTTAAGAATGATGTAGTCACATGAAACTAAGCATTAGAAGAAATCCACAAAGTTACCAAAACAGAATGAGAATTATGCTTAGTTCAGTTCATTAAGCATGATTAAAGTCTAAGTATCAGAAATAGCTCATGAACTCTTCCAGTATAAATATGTAAGACAGCCCTAATCAGAACAAACTCCCCCCAAATCCATCTACGGAGAAGCTCAATTACAGTAATATATCTCTGTGACTATATGTGGTTACACCAAACATCATTATTACTTTTAAAACAAAATATGTGCATCTGATTATGTATCTATATCTGTAAAGCTGCGAGTTGCTTGGGGCCACTTGTAATGTAAGACTGACAGAATAAAATCAAGAATGAATGGCATTAGATAAATAAAAAACCTTAGTCATGGTTTTAAATGAAGTCCCAAAGAGGCTCTTTTCTTCAATGTGTATGATTTCAGAGAAAGCAATGGCTGTGTTCTTACTTACTGGAAATCCATTAAGACAAGAGGTCTTAACCTGAGGTCTAGAATCTCCTATGGAAGACTTTAGGGGGGTCTTGTTGGAACAATATTTGGGTTTATGTGCACACTTGCATATTTTTTCCAAGGGGTAGGGTTCAAACTTTTTATCAGATTCTCAAACAGGTATGCCATTCTCTCAAAAATTGAGAACCACTGCTCTAGGAGATGTTCACAGGACTAGACACAACAACAAAACAACAAAATATTGCTGGAAAGGCCTGAAAGGTCATTGACTCTGCATTCGAACTTGCCATTGACAGCCAATGTCCTCCAGACACTATTTCTGTTGCCATGAATGGAAGCAAACAGCTAGAAAGTTCATTCCATCATTAAGTTCTTTTTGATTGATACATAATATATAAACTAATTCAATTTTTCCTCATAGTTTTTTCCAGTTCTAGGGCCCCAACAGACAGCCATTTGAAATATTCAAAGCAAGCTATGATTCTCACCATATCTTCTCTCTTTGACAGCTTGAACACTCCCATTTCCTTCTATCATTTCTTAAGAACACTTCAAAATAAGTTCTTTGGGTGTTCTTTATGATTCAATGTATGGAATTTTCAATCTCTAAGGCAATCTTACTGGCATCTGGTAGTAAAATAGAAGCAATGATCTCCCCTAACTGCAGGGTCCTCCAGGAGTGAGGATGGTATCTTAAATCTTCTCTGTCTTCTCCTTTCCTAGCTCAGCACAACGCATGGCTAATGTTCAGCAGGCACCGAGTGTTTAGGGAATGGATCTGAATTGTTCATTAGTCACTGTGCCACCAACATCCCAACCAACAGACTGCAACTTCAAAAACTATTTTGCCTTCCTGAATAAAGTTACCCACTGGTGACCTTTTTTTCTTTTATCATTTGCTCTTTTTCAATCTATGCCTTAAATTTAGACAGACATCAGGTCCTCTTAGCACTGTCCAGGTCTTCCTTGGATAATTCCTCCCTCTACAGTGGCTTGATTTCCTATATGCTACCAAACGTGTTTGTCTGAATCTCTTCTTTGGTCTTTAGACTTTTATGTCCAACTACCTACAAAACTATCTCCATGCAAAGACATCCACCTGAAGAAGTCCAAAAGTGGACTTGTTTCAACTCAACAAGTCCAAAGCTAAACTCTCCATGTCTCCACCAAACCTTGTACTCATTCTTTTTTATTCCATGTCCTAGTAGGTATCACATTGTCCATCTGTGGTGTAAACCTGAGAGTCATTCATGTGCTCGCTCTCTCTGTCTCTCTCCCTCCCCCCTCCTCATTCAATCATTCACCAAATCTTGTCTATTTTTGACCCCTAAATTGTTCTGAAATAAATCTCCCCTATTCCGTATTCGTGACTGCTGTTCTTGTTAAGGCCCTCATCACTCCCAAGTTTTAAAAGATTTTCATTCCATCAGATCATAAGCTCTGTGAGGTCAGACATGGTGTCAGTTTTGCTCACCATTGCATCCTGACTATCAATCACAGTGCCCAGCAGTTGGCTGACACTTAGGAAACATTTGTTGAATGAACAGACTGCTCCTTGCTGCCTACAGAATACAATCTGAGGTCCTTATTCTGGTATACAAAGCCCTTTATAATCTCTCCCAGGGATCATTCCTTTGCTCCTGCAACAACCAATTGCACATGATTTCTGACAAATACTCTGTTGCTTATTGCTCCAGGCCCATGCTCATCCTTCTCCTCTGCCTGCAGTGTCTTGCTCTGTCCTGCCTGACCCCAGCCCCTGATTATCTCCTTCCTGCTGTTTAAGGCACAACTCAGATACCACATCACCTAGAAAACCTTCCCTGTGGCTGGGCACAGTGGCTCACATCTGTAATCCCAGCACGTTGGGAGGCCGAGGCAGGTTGATCACAAGATCAGGAGTTCGAGACC